TACCCAGTCCTTTGCTTGGGTAGCTAGATCTTGAATGATACAAGATTGGATAGAGCTCAAGGTACCCGTAAGAGAAATCCGCCATGCAGACGAAAATGAAACATGTAAAGGAGTTACGTATCAAACATAGAGCCATAGAGCATAATAGCAGCAAAATAATTGCGATGAACAAACAGGCTAGTTGTGCAACTATGGTACAAATTCCCGTTTAGGACGAAGATGCAGCAATGGATGAATGTTTGAGGAGGCTGGAGGCTAGATGACAGTGTGGCCCATCAGATCGAGGCGGTGGTGGCTTTGCAAAAGAAGGGGAAATGGAATGGCTAATATTGTTGTGACCGCTTCCCGGAGTCGCCGCTAAGCTGTTCCGGAAGTCTCCCACGTGTTTCGGGCCATCTCTCTCTCGTAAGCAGGCCGTTTCGGAGCATGGCATGGCCTCGGCTTTGTTTTGGTTTTTGGAAGTGGAGGGGGAAAACAAACGAGCGAGCGGGCGGGAAGGAAAAGGGGTTTCCCGGGCCCAAGCCAAAGGTACATAGCGCCGTGGCCCTGTCACCACGACTTTGACAATGACCTACCTACCTAGGTACCTTACCCAGCGCGAGGTACGAGCTGGTCTATGTCTAACAGCGCGTCCCAACCCGAATATTTGCGCGTCCTTGAAACTCATATAATACCTTGAATTCTCTCCACCGTAGTCAGGTAATGTTAATGGCAATTAGTCGGGAACAGATAGGTTACTGCATCGCATGAGGGCGCTCCCAGAACCTTAACGTTAATCAACTGTGATCGTCGGTCGGTACAAATACTCGCATGTACGTAGGTGAGTTTATGTAACCCATGCCGAAGGTCTCAAAACAGGGCCGGCAATCAGTCAAATCATGATCAAATGCCGTGATCCAAGTGCCCGTAACCGCGACCGCGTATGGGCAGCCAAAAGAGTTTGAGTCGTCGTCACGACAGCCGCGGAGTCGCGACAAGCGGAGCCCCAGAGGCTCAGGAAACCCAGTATCACGGGATCTCCTGGGGTCAAAGAAAGAGAGAAGAAGAACTGGCCAATGCGGCCCATAATGATTCAGCCGCACACGCAGGGCGGACGTTGCTAAAAGGGGAGCAGCCATGGTTTGGGCCAAGGTCCGTTGTCTGGCTAGCTAGCCCCAAACGAGAGAGAACAGGGCAGACGGAGGCCAATCGGTAGAGGCATGGCTTCTCCGCTGCAATGGATGGATGTTGTCGGTCGGATTAGGTGAGGTGATGCCATACATTGCCATGGGGGCGGCAGCGCGCTTGTTGGCGGTCTGGGGATACGCCAAAGAAGCTTTGAAGTATATAAGATAATTAAGCTAGACACCTGCCCGACATGTTTGTTGGGATATAAAGGTTATCGGCTGCTAGAGGAATCATGGTTCTGACCGCATGGGTTCAGTGAAGCTCTCGTCATCTCTCAGGGAACTTAAACCTCAGCGTCAGAACTGCAGCCGCCGGGAAATAATACGCAGCAGGGAACAAGGGGTGCAATGTGCGAGTCACATTTTGTGTGGATGGATCGATGAATGCCACCGGGTGGGTACCCGAGCAGAATTGGTCACGAACAGAGAGAGGTGAGGTGAGGTGAGGCTCAGGCTCGTTAATGAATTGGATGAGATGGGGAAGGGATGGGTATCCACGGTAGCCCAGCAATTGAGTGATGGGTCTCCAGGCCAGGGCTCGTCTAGGCTAAGCTGTCTGGGCGTGACGATGCAGATGGGGGACGGGAGATGACAAGAAAGGGTGGATCAAGGGGTGGGTGATAGCCCCGGGCAAAGAGGAGAGGGAGTGTGTATACGAGACGGGGACGGGGACGGGGAAGGGAAGTGAAGGGGGCGTTGGAGGGTTGGTTCTGGGATAAACCGGGCTTGTAGAGTGGAGAGGCGAAGCTGTGCAGTGGAGAAGAAAGGATGGGGATGATGATGATGCCAGGCCGTGATGGGTGGTGGGCTTGCAGTTTTTTCCTCGCCAGGCTGCCCGGGGGGCTGGCTTCATGTTTAGGTAAGTCAGATACGTACCCTTTTCCTCAGATCTACCTACCTCAAGCAAGCCAAGGTTGCCCTGTTCAAGTTGAGGTGTCTGCCCATGTTGGTGGCTGTCTGCTGCATGAGAGGGTTGCGGGCGGCGTCCAGGGCTGGCTTGGTCAGGGCATGTAATTTATTAGGTACGGGAAGTATGACTACCAGCTTTTACCCTCAAATAATGGCTAGATAGACGTGTGCGTCCCTTAGGCAGCACCAGAGCACGCAGTGGATCGTCCCAATCCCCAGGAGACCAGTCGATACAACGGTATTCATGTGACATCCATCTATCACAGACAGTGCTTTGCTTCTGTCTGTCTATGCAGCTCTTCAATGCAGTGCGCAGCGTGCAGCATGCAGAAAGGTCAGAACATTCAATGTGCAGTGTAACTTGCAGGTCGATTGCAACCACGTACAACACCCAAACAAATCTAGCCTCGAGGAGCAACAGCAAGATCCCACATTGCGCGGGGGACATATCGGCGGTACTGTAAGTTACGTGGTACATCGTAATGTGTGCTCTCATCGTCAACAGCCAGTCTCTACTTTATTTTCTCATCGGCAAGTTAATTGCACCTCATCTCATGTTAGATGTCAGTAAAAACCACGAATACACCCGAGCTGGGATGGCTTCATAAATGTCCGACGGATTTCTAGAAACACATATGTCAACTACATGATTGAAAGATATCATCCTCGAAAGTAGATGGGATGGTACAGCATTTGCAGCAAGACAACGTTGTTGACTTTACCCAAACAAGGCTGCGTGCAGTTTGTATCAAGCACCTTGCAGTCAGCTCCCGCTGCCGTTCTCCGAACGTTGTACCGTGACACATCTGGCGCGCAACAAGCACTTTTCGCATCACGATCTGACTCAAAGTATTGTCAATAGAATTTGCGGCGATTCCAGCCTTAGCTTTTCTCCCGGTAACTTAGACACTCGGCTCAACGCCAACTCGAAGCCAGTAACTGATAAAGCACCGTGGGCGTGGCCTGTGCCGCACACACGACACCACCCTATAACGCCCGTCTATGCGAACTTGCTTTTTCCATTCTTGTCTGCGCTTCGTGTTTTATAAACATCTTCTTTCTCAACAATCTTATTCGTCCAGGAGCGCAACGGGGAGGGCTACCCGGGAGGTCTTGGCTTGTGTCAGATTTCACGCTCACTACTCTGGCCATCTCATTTCAACAAACTTCTGGCCCTACGTGTTCTCTCTCAACCATCTGTCAGCCTCTATCATAGATCGGAGATCTAAAAATTCCGACAACAACATTCTATACGAATATCTAGACGGAGAGAAGTCGCCCCGGCCCGCGCCTCTCCAAGTCATCCGACAACCGGAAATAAGCAACAGAAGTGGACTCCTCAATTCGACAAAAGATACGTAGACGTCCGAAGCAGCCATGGGGCTTTATGATGTTGCTTTCGAGACTTTGGACCAGTGTTTCGCAAGTATGCTGGTCACAGATCCTTGATCATGTTCCAATCTTTAACAGGTCACGTTGTCTCGCTGCGAGGACCTGTCCGATGATCTGCCAATCTGGTTAGGACCCAACGTTTATTACTTACGTAGTGCTGGACCTGCCTAGGCCCTGCAGGACATGGGGAGTGGTCAACTTAGGGGAAACCATTCATCCAGGATCTATTATCTCTCCACCCATAGATCGCGCCAGCTTTTCTTGGACTGCGGTCTCTAACCCCTGGTTCGTCCCCCAACCTCTTGTTTCCCTCCACGCTCGATGTGCTGAGTACACCAAGAATCGAGTGATGTAGCGTATAGCCTTTACTCCCTCGCTGTTGACGCTCAACCTCTGCCGAGTTCTAAGGATCAGGCCAGTGGTCGAATCTATCAACCCTGGGGCGGTTCCTGGCTCCGTTCATTACCGACTTTGCTCCAGAACTCTCCAAGGGGCCCGCTAACGCACGCCTGGCGACGGAACCTGCCAACTACCGGCCCACCATGGGGTCCATCGGTAACAACAGTCGACGACTGTTCATGTGTGCTAGCGTGAACGTCAGGGAGCACTTAATCTCTCTTCAACCCTTGAGGGTCTTTCACGCGCACATTCATGTGACCTGGCTCCATGTGTGATAACCACACGAACAGATACCTAGGGCAGATCTCATCATACGGCTGTACTGCTACACAGCCAAGGTTTAATAATACTCTGACTTGTCTATTGCTCTCAGCGAATGTGTGCATAGCATTAGTTGAACGAAGCAAAGGTCCGTGTCAAGATACTGAAATGAGTAATAGGCAGTACTCCGTACAAAAAAGCAACGCTTAGTCAATTCTACATAACCCAGTGCTTCTAGAATGATATTCGACAAGGTTTCAGTTTAGCGCAGTCAAATCGCTGCTACGACAGGTTGGTGTTTGGTTGAGACAGTCCCTGGATGTTCGCAACCCCTTCCCATGCTCTTAACTCATTTTAGGATGGGACAAGGTCTCATCTCACAGCCGCTGTGGGATAAGGTATCTATCACATTCCGCATGTAAATACCAAGTCCTACATAGAGTCACGCGCCACAATGAATTGTTACTTGGACGGCGTCTTCAACATCCCTCGAGTCCAGATTGGCTGGCCCAACAGCCACACAGCAAGCAAAGCTCCCTTGCCTCACTTCGTAATACACCAAAGTAAGGAGGGCATACCGACCGCCGTCGTCCATCTGTCTCACCTGCAACTAAAGCCGCCTAGTCACAGTGATGCCGACTTGGTGCGATAGTCCACAGTCGTGGAACAAACAGTTACGATTATCCTGAGACTGTAGGGAGGAGCAGGTGCGGTGAAACATAGCCGTCAACCCGTTCACTAGCTGAGCCTGGCATTTGATCTGATTGTGAGTTTCCCTTGCTGACACACCAGTACCCCCAGTCACATAAACAGACACGAGGGCATTCGGGAATAGCGACAAAAAGAGAGATTTGTCGTGTAGACAAGCTCGTGTGTCGGTGGAGAGGCTCGAACTCTCGACCTTTGGATTACTCTGACCTGAGGCCAAATCATATTTACTGATCTATGAGACCAACGCTCTAACCAACTGAGCCACACCGACGAAAACTGGATGAGATCCTAGTGCTGTGTGGGAGACGGGGGTCGTCTGAACCTTCAAGAAGATGGACTGGAGATTGATCTTGGAAAGAAAAAAGAAGTGGGTTTTTTTCTGCAACTCAAAGCTAAGCTTAATGGGACTAGTCTAAGTCTTGACCAATCACAGAAACGACTTACTCGCTTGGCCACGAGAGCCACAATTAGCCACACCAACTAGTGGAAACATCACAACTCAAAAAAGAGATGGACAACTCATCCATCAGAACGCCAAAAGTGTATGTCGGTGGAGAGGCTCGAACTCTCGACCTTTGGATGTCCCTGATCTTCGATCAGATCATACTTGAGTATGAGACCAACGCTCTAACCAACTGAGCCACACCGACAACAGGAATCATTGGGCCGGTGACCCAACACGATGGCTGAGGGCCAAGGTAATGGCGTACAAGTATGGAGACTGGGAGGAGGTACCTGAATAACGAGAGAGCGACGAGCCGAAAACTGATTGAAACACCTAGTTGTCAATTGGATACCTATGATTAGTCCTTGAAACTCTATGCTGCCTGGAGGTCATGTTGTCTTAACGCGGGGTGCTTCCTGTTGGAGAAACGTGATCGGTTTCTGCGGGAGGGCGCGCCGGGAGCATCATCACAACATCGGGAGAATTCGTCAAGTTACAAACGGAGTTTTGTCGTATTTCGGTATTTTCATTGATCTCGGTATCTACTGAGATCATGTCTGAGCGGTTGATTGAGTGATGCGGGAGGTGATTCGGGTTGTGCGAGGCATGATGATGCATGGTGGTTGTTGAGTGAATGGTGGCCACTTACATGCACGGAGTCACGGAATGCACCACCACTTCAATTGATCTACAGCTACATAGGACTACCAAACAGAAGGGAGAAACTCAACGTAAAGTTTGTAGGACAATACAGTTTGCATGTACTTAATTATTCACAAGATAAAGAGTCATGACGGAAGGAACCATGGAGGCAAAATAAAAACAAAACACCATTAGAGCCGATCTTCAGGGTAGCACAGCCCAACAAGGCCAATGACATGGATGAATGGATCGACTTCCAACCAAGTTCATTCCCGCCACCAATGAAAGTACCCCGCACCTCCAAAAACCGCAAGTTTGACCCCGCCAACTCACCTCAGAGGCTCAGGCTCGGCATAAGGTGAGCTTTTTACCGCGTGCGCTAGGTGTCATTAGCTCACCCTTGTGGTTGTGGTGGCCGTCTTCGGAAGCCGTAATGGAAAAAAAAGGGAAAATTTTCCCAAGGAAAGAGGGACCTCCACGGGTAACGGGCAGGGCAGCAGCTACTACTTCTACCTGGACCCTCCCACATGCTTTTTACTTTCTCTCCTCTTCCTCCTCACTCACTCATCAACCTGTAAAGGAACATCTTGACTGTTTCTTTTCCTACACCCACACCAAACAACTTCACAATGTCTCCCACAAACGCCGAGTATGCGCTCTCCGAGTCGCACAAGGAGGTGAGCTCCCCCGCCATTGCCCCTCGTTTTGAGGGTATCGCCAGATCGACTGACTCACACCTGTCCAGATGCTCGAGAAGTCTCTCCTCGACTCCGACCCTGAGGTCGCCTCCATCATGGTACGTCCTACCCAATTGATTGTCCCAAGTCCCCAACAATGACTTATACCCCCTACAGAAGGATGAGATTCAGCGCCAGCGCGAGTCCATTGTCCTCATCGCCTCCGAGAATATCACCTCCCGCGCCGTCTTCGATGCCCTTGGTTCTCCCATGTCCAACAAGTACTCTGAGGGTTACCCCGGTGCTCGTTACTATGGTGGCAACCAGCACATCGACCAGATTGAGCTCCTTTGCCAGCGCCGTGCCCTTGAGGCCTTCCACCTCGACTCTGAGAAGTGGGGTGTCAACGTCCAGTGCCTTTCTGGATCTCCCGCCAACCTTCAGGTCTACCAGGCTATCATGCCTCCTCACGGCCGTCTCATGGGCCTTGACCTTCCCCACGGTGGCCATCTGAGCCACGGTTACCAGACCCCTGCCCGAAAGTGAGTTGACTCTGAGAACCCTTTTGGTACTTGAGTTCATAATATGCTAACCATCCATCACAGGATCTCTGCTGTCTCTACCTACTTCGAGACCATGCCCTACCGTGTCGACCTCGACACCGGTATCATTGACTATGACACCCTCCAGAAGAACGCCATCCTCTACCGCCCCAAGGTCCTGGTTGCCGGTACATCTGCCTACTGCCGTCTCATCGACTACGAGCGCATGCGCAAGATTGCCGACTCCGTCGGTGCCTACCTCGTTGTCGATATGGCTCACATCTCTGGTCTCATCGCCGCCGAGGTCATCCCCACTCCCTTCAAGTACGCCGACATTGTCACCACCACCACCCACAAGTCCCTCCGTGGTCCCCGTGGTGCCATGATCTTCTTCCGCAAGGGTGTCCGCTCCGTTGACGCCAAGACCGGCAAGGAGACCCTCTACGATCTCGAGAACCCCATCAACTTCTCCGTCTTCCCTGGTCACCAGGGTGGTCCCCACAACCACACCATTACTGCTCTGGCTGTTGCCCTCAAGCAGGCTGCCAGCCCTGACTTCAAGGCCTACCAGGAGAAGGTTGTCTCCAACGCCAAGACCCTAGAGAACACCTTCAAGACCCTCGGCCACAAGCTCGTCTCTGACGGTACTGACAGCCACATGGTCCTCGTTGACCTCCGCCAGCACAACCTTGACGGTGCCCGTGTCGAGGCTGTCCTTGAGCAGATCAACATTGCCTGCAACAAGAACTCTATCCCTGGCGACAAGTCCGCCCTCACCCCCTGCGGTATCCGTATTGGTACCCCCGCTATGACCTCTCGTGGCTTCGGCGAGAAGGAGTTCGAGCGTGTCGCCAAGTACATTGACGAGGCCATCAAGATCTGCAAGGAGGAGCAGGCTGCTCTCCCCAAGGAGGCCAACAAGCTCAAGGACTTCAAGGCCCGCGTCGCTACCGGCGAGGTCCAGAAGATCAACGACCTCAAGAAGGAGATTGCCTCCTGGTGCAACGCCTTCCCCCTCCCCGTCGAGGGCTGGCGTCTGGATGCCGCCATCTAAGGCGTGCGGCTCTAGAGTTCACTGCTACTTTAAAGGTTATCCATCCCTCAACATGATGTGATGCCTTAATCTCCAACACGCATTTAACATGGATGAGGCAAATGGCGAAACGTTCAACAAGCATGCATTTCATCACGGCGCAAATACCTAGTTTGCTTTTTTGGTTGTTTTTTTTAGGTCGGGATATACAAGCATCCTTCAACAAGATGGACTGCTGGAAAAAAAGGTTGTGGGAGTTGGGTTACGTACTTGATATCTAAGAAGATCATTACATCTTCTCTCTACTTTCTCGATATTCTCACTACTTGGTGTAGAATTTGAGACAAGCTAGAAACAGCACTCCGCTAGGGAGTAGCAGACAGCTAAATACAATCAATGGCTAAGTGCCTAGAACCACTTTGTAGTCCCATCGTGATCAAGAAACCATATACCAAGCTTTACGGATTCTTGGTAATTCACATCATTTCCGTTGTAGTTTTGAGACTATGTCACAAATGATAGCATAAACCATGTGGTTCCTTGTTAAAACTACTTGTTATGCCGGAAGATCTGGACTTGTGCCTTGGCTGTCACTCACCAGCATAATTCCCCTGTACTGCATGATGATTGTGTCCAACGACAACTGAAAGCTTCACGAATACGTTGTTCAAGGCTCATTAGTTTGCCTACATATTCTAACCAGTAAGCATACTCGCCTGTCCGCTCTGCACCCCGAACTTTCAAACGCGCATGTTCAAGCATTCCTCACTCCTGTACCTATTTATGTCTTCTGAACGCATGTCCCATTCCACTCCATCCCAATCCATCAATCCAAGCAAGTTCGTTCGCATGTCCACCCTCTCTCTCAACCCTTTCATAACCGGACCATCCGTCCATTCGGTCCTATCTACCAAAAAAAACAACAAAAAAAAACAAGAAAACAACAACGCAATCCGTATATAAAAAGCACAATAGTCCGCTAGGAATTATCCTAGTGTTTTAATGAACACAATGGAACAATTGACTGACTGCGCCTCGCCTCATATTACCCATCCGGCGTGAGCCTTTCCGTACGCCGGCTAGTCATCAAGAAAGCCAATCCATCCACAACATGTCTGCTTTTGTCTTGTCCAAAGAGGTCCACGATAAGGAAGGTCGCTCACGTGAGATTTACACCTTGTTCGGCCCCGGTGTGGTTAGGTGAATCGGGCTTCTTCCTGTGTATCGTGTAAATACATGCTGTGCCGCCTCCGAAGCCCAGAAAAAAACAAAAGAGGTAAAAAACGCCAGGATGGATGATTGTTGAGTGGTAACTCATATGCAAAGTAAAGAAATAGAAGCCCCAAAAAAAGACAAAGACCAATTTCAAATACCAGTACAGCATGTTTGCGGGGTATGAGAAAAGACGGAAAGACCTCAAAGAGCAGATGTAAGAAAAAAAAAAAGTAATACACGATTTATATGAATAAAGAAGTTGAAAGGCATTGGTGCCATCGGAGGTTTTAGGCGTTGTCATAACCGAAACCAGTTATAAAGCTGTCTGCTCGAGTTTCTATAAGCGACAAATCAAGTAGAGTGTGTGTTGAAGTAAGAGAAGGCTTGGTTGATGGCTGTAGTCCTCTCTTATCCTATGGTGTTACCGGAAGCGTTGCTTGGCCTACTGAGCAATGCTCTCCGGACTCATCATGCCGATAGTATCGTCCTTGTCCGTTTGACTAGCGTTGCCCTGACTCTGCATGCTGTCTTGTCTCTCCATGCTAGGGGCTAGCGCGAGGACTGCAGGATTAGGTGCTGGACCAGTCGTCATGGTCATGGACTTCTTCTTGCCAGGGATGGTGCTAGATGCTCCTTTCTCGGGCGAGGCATTAGCTTTGGCCTCGGCTGCCGCAGCCTCCAGCTTCTTTTTCTTCTTGGCGAGAGCCAGCTGCTCCTTGGGAGATCGCTTTTGTGCGGTGACAATCTTTCCGCTGGCACCCAAACGAGGACGAGGTTTCTTTTGTTTAGTAGGCAGGTCTTCGTCCTCCACGAGAGGCTGATCGCCATTAGCGTGCAGCTTAGCCAGGAAGAAGTTCTTGACCAGGCCAACTTGGTCCTGAATGTTCTCCTTGGTGACTGGCTCTGAAGTTGGCAACGGTTCGAAGAGATCAGTAGCTGTTTCGCCAGTCGTCTGTGTCTGCATCTGGTACTGATTGCGGACGCGGGTCTGCAGAAGATGCAACGGCACAGAGATCATATCAAGTCCCATCTCCTTATCCAGACCTAACGCCCGGAAACCAAAGAAGTCTTCACCAAGGTCCTCAGCAAAGTCACC